AGAGAGAGAGAGAGAGGGAGAGAGAGAGAGAGAGAGAGAGAGAAACACAGAAAAATACAGAAAGAAACACAGAAAGAAACACAGAAAGAAAAAAGAAAGAAAGAAAGAAAGAAAGAAAAGAAAGACACAGGCAGAGATTGAGTGAGACCAATAAAAAGAGTAGGCAAGCTGACGCTGCAGAGAGATTAGGATGCAAATAAGCTACAAACATCCTGACATCGTGTCAATGACATCGAAAGCCTACTGTACTGATTTTCTGTTTTTCAAATCCTCACAAAATTATGACTCATCAACAGATAAGCCATAACAAAATCGATAACTTCTTTATCGAAAAACAGGGCATGTATTAATTGTCATTGCAGTCGAAACTGTCCTGGACGGCCACCCATTGACCTGACCTGACTATCAATAATCTATTTATAGAGGCACCAGCTATCCATGTCTAGGTGTCGTTTTTGCCTCTTTTTCTGTATGTGGATGAAACATTATTTTTTCCAATTAAGTTGCTTCTACTTGTATGCACCCTGTGTCTATGGTTTTCAAACGGCCACCCATTATCGAGATTATCGGGGGAAAAACCAGTAACTGTCGTCTTTGACAGGCGGGTGCCTTAGACAATGCCATTTTATAATAATATTGTATCGAGGGGCATCGTGTTAAATCAGGCACTCGTCAAAATAATGAAGTCGAAGAAATCGGCATTTTTCGGCCAGTTTGGAAATTTTAACCAAATTTTTATATTTTGGCTTAACCTCTTTTATGTCCATATATAAAAAAACATTTCCGTGTGAAATTTACTGAAAAACATTAACAAAAGACACAAAATATGCCATTTTTCAGTTCTCTAAGACTCTTTAGCTATTTGAGTTTACAAACTTTGGTGGCCATTTTCTCGCTAATTTCACCACTTCAATAGCAAATATCTTGAGTTCTATTCAAGATAAATGGATATTTATTTCATTAGAAGCAAGGCAAGAGAATCAGCCTTCTGGTAATATCAAAGACTCCACATGCCCAAAAATTGACAAGCGCCCCTTTCCACCAACAAAAGACACAAATGAAGGGGTGGGGGGGGGGTCGTATTTTGAGCTGGTGATTGTCTTGGGCTGGTAGGTTTTAGAACAGGTTCGACTGTATTAATTAACTAACCCAAACTTTGTACTTTAAGGCTGCTACTCCGAACTACAACACGGGAACTTTTGCCGGTATTTATTATAATTATAATGAGCGGTTACGCCCCTTTTACATTTTTACACAATACCTTGTACTTCACTGCAAGCTGGCATATCGATTCATTCAGTGAATGACATAAAACAACATGTCGATGGGCACTTTTAAAAATTAACCTCAGTATTTTTCTTTTCTTTTTTTTTTTCTTATATGGGGCGTTCTTTTTCTGGTGGTATGCATATTGAATACATTATGATTCATGGGCCTATAATTTATTATTAATGTGTTCTTTCAGTTAAAAACGAGTGCTTTATCGTAACGGCCAAAATGTCAGAACGAAGACCTAGGAGCTCTCCCATGAAATTCTTTTTCTAAGTATGCACTGGTTGACAATTACTATGATAATCAAAAGCAAACACGATCTTCCTCAACATTTTGAGAACTCCTACACTAAAATCTTTTTCCAAGTATGCACAGGTTGACAATCACTATGATAGTCAGAAGCAAACATGATCTTCCTCAACCTTTTGAGAATGTTAACCTCTTGAGAATGTAACCTAATACAATGTAAGTTGTTTCAGAATCCACCACACTAAACATCCTACAATCAGCATTTAGGATCGATACCAAAGTCACTGAACCGGTCAGCCAGACGAAAGCTTGACACTTCACGTGGGGTTTACCTGTGGTGACCACTCGGCGAAAACAATGCCTGGAATTATCGGAATGCGGTCTTACGATTACAGCACAGGAGAGGGACAGCAGGACGCCTAGAATATAACGTCACTTCGACAAATTTCCAAGGGTGCACATCACATCAGCCGGCTTGGGTACTGAAGAAGAGGGGAGTATTGATTTCTTTCTACCTCTTCTGTCTGGGAATTATTGGACGCGCCTGACGGGGGTTTCACCGGTCTAAATATAGAACTCGGCCGTCTGGGGAGAAGATAGCGTTTATTGATTGGTTGCTTTCTCAGGGGAAATTTCGGAGTCACGCTGACTCCAGATATCTCTGCTGATGGCGCAGATTATTCCCTAAAACTTAAAGGGGAGCACGATAAAATGGTCGAACTTTGGTTTCCGACACCGCAGTTACTGATTAAAGGCAAAGCGACATATTGATTGCGACAACAACAAAAAATACCATAATCAATAATGAGATTGTGGTTCATTGTGCGCTCTCATGTGGATGCGCTTGCGCTTGCAGTGTGTAACCTACCGGCACGTTTGGTGACGAAGCAACAACAGTTAAAAAAAAAAAAAGAAAAAATACCCCAACTAGATCTACCTCAAGATAATTACACTCAGTTGCATTACGCTGCAACAACGGAATGTGTAAAGTAAAATGTGCTCGACTACTGTGTACTGCTAGCAATCTCAAGTCTGGCCCCGAGATAGGCCTTTGCCGCTGTGTGTGAGCGTGTGTGAGTGAGCCGCTACTGCATCGATTTTTGTGTCCCTTGCACGTGCCGGCCTTCAGAGCTGCACACGAAAAGGTCAAGGGTGGCGGGTCAAGGCCCATTTGTAGTGTATTGTGATCGCGGGGGAGTTTTGGGGCTGCAGCGAGGCAAGTTGTAGGCTTTCGACGGAAAAGCAGTGCGTTTATTAACCGTCGCTGGTTAGAAGTTATACAAATGGGAACATTAAGAC